CAGGTTCAATAAGACCCTACCATGGTAGCAAATGTCCCTTTTGTCCTTCTGTCCTCCTCAGTTTTCTGTATGGATCCCCTTTGTCTGCTTCAAATGGATTTATATAGAATATCTCCACTGTTGTACTCAGCAGGTTTCACTGCGGCTCTGATCTCAGTAAAGTCTAGGGTTAGTAGCCGTCACATCAATGTGGTAAAACCAGCCGACTATGTCCGCAGGGCAGAAAATCTGATGCCCCAAATGAAACTATTGGACCTGCTTGTTTGAATCACTGGCAGCAAGTTCAGATCCACTTGTTAAACACAGTTCAGTGAATGGTATTACCCTATAATGGTAAAAAAGTAAAAAAAAAAAAATAGAGAATTAATTCCTGAAAAATCGTTAAAAATATATTTTTAAAATCCAAATAGTTGAAAAATATACCGAACAAAACAATATACAGCAAGCGCAATAAATAATTTACATTGTTTATTAGGAGGAACTACTTTGTGGGACCCAACATTTTTCAGTCAGGTCATCTGGACAGTTTCTTTTTTTGTGCTGAAACGTTTCGCCTTAGATCCGGAAGGCTTCATCAGTCAAGGAAACACACAACACAAAACTGATTCTTCCCCCTTCCTTGACTGAAAAATGTTGGATTGTATACCTGGATTATTGAGCATGGACTTTGTTACTTTGTGGGACGAATTAATTTGCCCCTATGGATGAGCCGCCACTGCTCTATACCTCCATGTCTTCTCTAACATCATCCATAGATCTCCTCTTTGTCCTTTTCCTGGCAGCTGCATTTTCTTCTACCAATATACCCACTGTCCCTCTGGACACGTCCAAACCATCTCAGTCTGGCGTCTCCACATTCATCTCTGTCATTCTACCTCTGATGATCTCATTCCTAATCTTATTCACCCCTCCCCCCAAAAGAACCTGAACATCACAAATTGAAACTTTTCTCCATCCACTCCATCCTGCCTGGATTCTCTTCTTCACCTTTTCACCCCCATGTTTCCTGGATAGTCGACCCGGTGAACTTGAAGTCCTGCACCTTTGTGACCTCTGCTCCTTGTGGCCCCACTCTTCCACCTGCCTCCTTCAGTTCATTTATGGCACATCCTTGTTGGCGCTGCAATAAATACAATTTAAAAAGAAAAATACTGATATTCAGCTTATATCAGTTTCATCTGCTTAAAGGATAAAAGCTCTCGCTTTAATAAAAAAACCTAAAAGGGAGGTTATTCGAGTGGAAGATTTCAGCTGGAGTTAAAAGAGTCGACTTGCTTTCCATCTGATGTTTCATTTATCAAACATTCCCACTTTGTTCAGCTTTTAAAAGTTGGTTTGATGAAAGCTGCAGACGAGGAAACTGTCTACTGAAAGAGTAAAGAGGGAGTTTAATCCATTCAGAGAGGTTTTGACTCAGACATTCATGTTTTAACTCAAGTCGACTCCTCTGGAACGGCAAATCTGAATAAATGAAAACAGACAAAGTAGCAGCGAGACTAAAGAGGCCAACAGGAACATAAACTGAATACATGAATCTTAGTTTTATCTTCCCGTTGTGAATATTTAACACTTAAAAACTGCTCAAGCGTTTAGAAAACTTTCTCTACACCCTCAAAGAAAAGTCACGAAAAACAACTAAAAGAAGGGATGCATTTTGTTAGCATTGAAGCTGAATCTGAATTTCATTAGGATGTTTTGTACTTTCTTGCTCTCGGAGAAGGTGGATGCTTTTTCCTCCCGCTCCTTCCCCTGCTTCTGCTCTTTGTCCTGTGAATCTTTTGGAGCCTCTCTTTGCGTATCTTCCAAATTGTAAATTATAGATCTGGTCAGCTGGTCTTTCAACACAATTGATAAAATTTTCTTGACGAGAAGACAGGGTGAAGGAGAGCCCTCCTGCCCCGACGGGACACTTGCATCCGGATACACAATGGATTCATTGGGGCAGCGGAAGATCGTGTGGCTGTCCATATTGTCGGTCGAGGGTGTTGAAGATGCGTACATAATTGGATTTATGATAACAGGATTTCTGCTTTTTGGATTTGGTGGTTACCTGGCATATCGACAAATTCGAAAACGTCGGCAGCTGTTGTGAGGGAATGTGCCGTGCTGGGAACACTCAGACCGTGTGAGCTGAGCCATAAGCTGGACGCGATTCTTGCTGAGAGTCACAGGCTACTTGCGGCTCCTGAATCTTGCTGGCAGGAAGGAATTGACCTTGGAGAAGTTACAAGCTTGGCTCGGCAGTACTGACCTCAAATTTAGCTGTTTGGAGTCGCCATTGAGACGTACCAGTGAAACTGTAAGGCAGACGGAAATTAACGGAGTCGACCTGACCCAAAACAACTGTTGTTATCTGAATCTGGCTCCCCTGTGTCGGCCTTGGAAGGCTGATTATCTCAAATTCTCCTGGATGTTATGTGAAGAAGATGCACTGCCCCCACTACCTGTTCCCTTGCAGAAGTTTTTTTGCAATATGATTTTTCATGATTTTTATTTTTTTCTCTCCTCTTTCCTCGTGTTTCCTTTTCCTTATTTAACTAAAAAGGCAGCGCCTCTCATGAGGCTGCAGCCTCAGGCACCCCGTCTATGTCTTGTGTTTCTTTGGACGGGCTGTACTAAATGAAATTTTGTTGTGCTTCTGTGCACTGACAATAAATGCTGATTCTGATTCTGACACGTCAAACTAAAATGACACATAAATAAAAATAAAAATGAAATACACCTAAAAAATAAACATTGACTAAATATTCTTTAGTCCAGTTCCAGGAATAGGCTACAATTACAGTGAAGCAAGAAACAACAACATAAAATTAATTTAGAAATACTGTAGTTTGTTAATGTCCAGTTAGATTGCCAAAAGTTATTTTTATCTACAGAGTAACTGTTTGAACAACAATAAAATAAATAAATAAATTAAATTTAAATAATTAATTTCCCTTTTTGATTAATAAACTATTTTTGAATTGAATTGAAAACAAAATCTTTAATTCTGTTGTGCCTTCAAAAAGAATCTGGACATTTATTGAAATAAACAAAATAAAGAAAGGAAATTGCACCACGGTTAAACCAAAACAAAAGTTTTAAATCTCAAATAGAGTCGGAGAAAGGAAAACGTCTAATAAAATCCAGGAGGCCGTGTGGATTAATTTGAGAGAATTGTGCACAAAGTTCATTGTTCTAATCTCAAATTTACACCTTTCAAAAATAACCTTTCATCCCCGAGGTTCTGTGGCAGATTTTATTTTTTTCACCCTGGTTTCAAAATAAAAATCACAAATCAAAGCAGTGATCCTAATTTATTCATGTCAGGACCTCTACAGAGTTAAACTGGAACAAATGGACAACTTTCTGTCTTTGAATACAAACTGAAAAACCATTTGTGGACTCAAAGAGGCTCATTGTCCTCTTGTGTCCTCTGAGGTTCTGAGCCACAATTTTTGGGACAATCTTCGTCATTTAGGATCTGGACTCTCCACGGCACAGGTGCTTCCTCCGGAGACTAAAGCGAGTGAGGACACCCTCCTCCATCTTTACTGATGGACGCCTGACGAGCTGTTCGAGCAGCCTCAGGGAGACTCTGCTGTGGGGGAGAGAACAGCCGAGGGAGTCACGGAGGTCTCACCCCTCTCCTCAGAGACTCGTTTGAAGCACTCAGCGCTGTGAGATGTCTCTCACTCCCACTGTTGTTTTATCTTCTTTCACGGCAGGAGATTTAGCAACAGACGAATGAAACGCATCAAACATTTTAAAGAATTAAAGTCACAGGTTCTTGGCCAATGTTTATCAATATATATATATTAAATATATTCATTATTTGGTATATTTGGTATATTTTTAGTATTTTGATAATTTTAACTTAACTGTTGATTAGGTTTTATGGTAACTCTTTACAATAAGGTACACAAAATTTGATTAACTACTAGGGAACGCCTCAGGAACGAATCAGGAGCTAATAGGTAGTTAACCAGTACTTACTGGGGAACACACAGCCAAGCCTTATTAGGGGACTACTGGTTAGTTACCTTGTAAATGAAGAGGAACTAATCAAGAACTAATGGGTAGTTACCAAGAAAACCAAAGAGGAACGAATCAAGAGCTAATGGGTAATAAAATCGGTAATCACTTGGAAACAGGTTTTGGACAATTACGAGTTGTGACCTCACTGGTGCAGGGTTTATTCAGAACCCACATGGCAAATTTTTCCTCTGTTTCTGTGGTAACAAACCAGTAGTCCCCTAAGAAGGCTTGGCTGTGTGTTCCCCAGTAAGTACTGGTTAATTACCCATTAGCTTCTGATTCGTTCATTTTTAGTTTCCTTGGTAACTGCCCATTTGTTCTTGATTAAATCCTCTTCCTTTACAAAGTAATAAACCTTGTTCCTCTTTGGTTTTCTTGGTAACTACCCATTAGTTCTTGATTAGTTCCTCTTCTTTTACAAGGTAACTAACCAGTAGTCCCCTAATAAGGCTTGGCTGTGTGTTCCCCAGTAAGTACTGGTTAACTACCTATTAGCTCCTGATTTGTTCCTTAGGCGTTCCTTAGTAGTTAAACAAGTTTTGTGTATCTTATTGTAAAGTGTTACTGGTTTTATAACTACATGACATTTTTTAAATCACTTACATTCTATGCATATCTTGTAATTAAATGAACAAAGATCAAACAAAATGACATAAATATCAGACGATGAGCCACGCTGCTGTAAACAGGTTCTTTAATGTCAGGTTTGTTCAGATGTCAGGGAGCAGATGGTTCAGCGTGTTACAACACACTTGTTTCTGTGTCACTGCTCCTCTGTGCAGTAATGTGTTTGTGGCAGATGTTGGACTGAGTTGTATTTCTAGAACATTTCCAAGTGTCAAGGTGGACAATTTGAATGTTGCAGGCGGCCATTAGAAGTTCCCACCTCTCTTTAAAAATACATCAAAATCTTTGTGCATTGTGTTGTGTTTTATATATATATATATATATATATATATTTTTGTGTGTGTGTGTGTTTGCAGGTGAAGGACGAGCGTAAAGCGCAGGAAGTGTTTGACCTGGCAGATTACGAGCGTTCAGAGGAGCTGAGGAAGGCGAAGAGTCGCAGCAAGAAAAACCACAGTCGCTTCACCGTGTTGCGCTGCAGACATCGAGGAAACCCTGTGAGTCCCGTCTGTCTGTCTTCCTGTCCGTTGTTTCATGTTCTCACAGCATCCTTTCATTTTTATGCTCCACTAACCACCACAACAGCACCTCTGAAGTTCAAGAGCTCTGGTTCTTTTATTGTGGAAGAAAAAGCTGCTGTGATCTGCTAGGAGCTGAACGACTGCTAAAACTAGCTGAAGAAGCTAAAACTGAGTTGTGAAAGTTAAAACTAACAGACTAGAAGCTAAGATGAGCAGAAAAGAGAATAAAATGAGCAGAACTGTAGAAATAATAGAAAAAAGTAGCTAAATTCATCAAAATTGCTCAAGCTAAAATGATCAAAACATAATTTCATAGTAACAAATCACGCTAAAGTGAAAACTTGCTAAATGTATCTAAAACGATTGAACTGATGTTAAACTTAGCAAACCTATAACTAGAAGTAGCACAACTGATGCTAAAGTTAAACTCAACAAAACAATAGCTAAAATAAGCAGAATTGTAACTAAAAACTTAAAGTGAAATGGGACATAAAATTGGAATAAAAAGACAAAAACATATATTTGCTGAAGCAGATTTCAAAGAGAGCAAGTTTGTTGAAGGATATGAAAAACTCCTGATGTATTTCTATGGGGTACATACACACATTAAAAACAAGTTTATACTTATAAAGATACACAAACCAAAAGTAACAACATGCATCTCTTGACTGAGCTAGTGTTTTGATGTGTGAATACTTAAAGTGGCACAAATTACACCAACTACTTTGTTTGATTGCAAAAAACCTACAGAAGAAACTACAAACAAGAACACAATATCGAAGAACCTTGATTGTTGCTTTATTGTTCTCTTTAATAACAGAAAGAAGCTTTTATGTGTGTATTAGAGCTGTTGAGTCTTCTGTAGCGCCACTCAAATGTGGAGTACCTCAGGGATATATAATTGGTCCCCTTCTGTTTTCCCTTTATTTGCTCCCTCTGTGATATATTCTCCAGAAACATGGTGTTACTTTTCATTTATATGCTGATGACAGCCAAATTTATGTTCCATTAAAACAAGACAAACAGTACTCCGTGAACCAACTCCTGGAATGTATGGCAGGAAAAGACTGAGGTGGTGTTGTTTAAGCACAGTGATGGTTCCAAAGTCCTTGCTGATCTGGGTCCTTTAACAAAACATCTGATTGAGAAAGCAACTAACCTGGGTGTGAGGCTGGACGATGATTTTAAACTAGATCAAGTCCAGCTTTTATCATTTGAGACAACTGGCCAAGGTCAAACCATGTCTGTCACGATATCATTTTGATATTTTAATCCATGCTTTCATTACAACTCGTCTGGACTACTGTAATGTCAGTCTGAGCCAGTCATTACTGCCTCGACTTCAGCTTGTTCAAAATGCTGCTGCCCACCTTTTAACTGGTACCAGAAAACGAGAGCACATCACCCCAGTTTTAGAGTCACTACATTGGCTCCCAGTTTGTTTCCGGATTAATTTTAAGGCTCTTTTATTTGTTTTCAAATGTCTTCATGGTCTCGCCCCACAGTCTCTGTCCGACCTGCTCCAGCTGTATCCTCACGCTCTCTCAGATCAGCAGATCAGCTGCTGTTGGTCATTCCAAAGTCCAACAGGAGGCTGAGAGGGGACCATTAGAGGTGACCGTTAGAGGTGACCGTTAGAGGTGACATTAGAGGTGACCGTTAGAGGTGACCGTTACAGGTGACCGTTACAGGTGACCGTTACAGGTGACCGTTACAGGTGACCGTTACAGGTGACCGTTAGAGGTGACCGTTAGAGGTGACCGTTAGAGGTGACCATGAGAGGTGACATGAGAGGTGACCGTTAGAGGTGACCGTTAGAGGTGACCGTTAGAGGTGACCATGAGAGGTGACCATTAGAGGTGACCGTTAGAGGTGACATTAGAGGTGACCGTTACAGGTGACCGTTACAGGTGACCGTTAGAGGTGACCGAGCGTTTTCAGTTGCTGCCCCTAAACTTTGGAACGAGCTGCCTTAGCACATCAGACAAGCGGACTCACTTCCTGTTTTTAAATCTTCTCTGAAAACACTTTTTTTTCCCTCTTTGGCTTTTAATTCAGCTTGAAATGTTGGTTTTACTGTTTTTAAATTATTAGTTTTATTGTTTTACTGGTTGCTGTTTAATGATTTTTGGCAGGTAATTACTTTTACGGTTTCAGTTGATTTTATGGTTTTTATGCTTGTATGTGTTAGTGTACAGCACTTTAGGCCAACAGTGTTGCTGTTAAAGTGCTTTATAAATAAAGTTGTATATAAAACATAATTCAAAGTGTAAAGTAGGCTTCCTTACAAATCTTATAAGGTCAACAAGTACAAGCTCTGGTGCTGCGATCCGTCTGCTTTAGTAAAGAGGTTCTTTCCACTCAGATTATGTTCTGGGTCTCTTATAAAACAGAGAAATCCAAAGGGTTTAACTTTTAACCTCTTAAGAGACGCTTCTCAATCTGTGCACCAGTGCTGTTTTTTTCCAACTCAGCAGTCTGGTGAGGTCACATATCTCCTATATTTACGTTTTTTAGAGACACGTGTAATTTTACAGATACTGAGGTACATTTTGGTGTGGTAGCAGCTGAGACTGATCCACAACTTATACTTTGATGGCTAACAAGGGCACGAGATCTGTGTTTACACTTTTGACAAAACTTTGTTAGCAAACTAGTTGCAAAAGTCCTAGAAGTGAGGACTTGTGGCCCCATTGGACCCAACACAAGACCTAAATCTTCCCTTACCGGCCCCTGAGGGATTCAAACCCAGTCTCTCTAACCGGTGGTCTGTTTTACTTAAGCCAAAGTGTTTGAACTTCTGATCTAAGGGTTGGGGCAAAGCGGTCAAAGGTCATAGGGGTCAAACTATCTTCTGAACTGCTGGATGGATTTAATGAAACTCTGAAAGTGATTATTGGATGTACATATAAACTCTAACTTTCGAAGTCACTCCAATTCAACATGGCCACCACAGTTACTCCATTAGTTTTACATTGATTTACGATTTGGTGTGGTAGTAGCTGAGAGTCGTTCATCCCAACCTGAGATCATGCAGTATTATATATTGTTGTTTTCAAGGGTTGGCCCAAACCGTGTTGTTCCTCAACACGGGATGATTTTAGTCTAAAACTCTGGAACGGTCAGAAGTGATTTCGTGTTTCTTAAGTCGTCAGTCCAGATGCAAAAACTCTGAAATGTCTTCTTCCGTCTCCGTCCGTCCTCTGCTGCTCTCAGAGATTACACGGTCCTGAATCACTAACACCACCCACCTGATTGGTGGATTCCCTCCTCCGTCTGTCAGGGGATTGGTGGATTTGAGTTCAAACAACCCGTCCACCCTGCCAGGACTTCTCTGATTGGCTGATCCGTGTTGGTTTTTTTTTTTAACCCTCTGAAATGGTTTAATCTGCAGAATCCCATTAGTTTGTGAGTTACAAAGGAATAATCCCTAAAACACTTTCACATGTCCGTCTTGCTGCCCACTGCGCTCTGCTGCGGTTCGTTCCAGTCACGCAGCTCCGAGGTGAAGGCAAGAAAACGTGACTGAGACGATCTCCTCATGTGCGGCTGACGAGGACCAAAACCGCAGAACGTTGTTTAAAAAGCGTTTCTACCCGAGGTGAATGTGGAAGAAGCTGCAACTTTTTGCCACAAAAACTGAACTTCCATCCCACTTTGTGCAAATGTTACAGCCTGTATGTTACAGCAGCCGGCGTTCTCATCGCAAATACTTCTTTGTATGGCAACATGAAAGGCTTGAATAATTTCACCAAAAATTAAATATTCGTTTTAGCTGCAGTAACAAAGCTACACCAACCTACATTTTTGTACCGGTTAGGTACAGTAGTCCCTCGTTTATTGCAGGGGTTACGTTCCGGACCCGTCCCCCTCCCCCGTCCTCCTCCCCCGTCCTCCTCCCCCGTCATCCTGCAATAAGTGAAAATCCGCAAAGTAGGGACGTTATTTATTTTAGTATTTATATATACTGTATTTTAAGGCTTTGGAAACCCTTCTCACTCTGATGTTCTAAACTCTTAAACCTATGTAATTTTAACAACATACTTATATGTAGCTACTAAATTTTACTCACCAGCTCTGCAGAACAGCAGCAGCTCAGTTCCAGTCCTTCTTGGTTCTGTTTCAGCAGACCTACCCTGCCGGTTCTGGTCGGCTCTCTGGCTCGTGGTAGTGTTGGTAGGCTCCGGAGGGAGCGTCAGACCTATGGCGGCGTATCCCTGCTCTGAGGTCCTCATGGGCTGGCTAGCAGCTCTCTGATCCGTTGATGGGTCTGGTTCTGCTCCAGTTCTGGTCCGGTTCCCGGTGGGTTCTGTACGGCTCTCTGCATCCGCTGGTTGCCTAAGTCTCTGTATGAATAAGCACCAAACTTTTTCTGATCAGATCAAAACTTTCCCTCTAGTATTTCAGCAGAAGGCAACGGGGCTTTGGCGCAGGGTTCTGTTGGCTTCTGGGAAATGTAGTCGTTATGAGCGGGGATACAGTGTAGGCTTATTGAGAGAAAACTACAAAATGGTGACGCCTGTCCGAAGTATTTTATTTTTTGTTGAGTTTTTACTGTACAGTATCCAGTACTGTCCCAATCACGTGAGTAATATTAAAGTTGACAATCGTGTCGTGTACGATTTTTTTTCTCGTGTTCAATCTTTGAAAAACCGCAAAAGAGCGAGTTTGCGAAGGTCAAACCATGAAGTAGCGAGGGACTACTGTAAAGAAATGTTTACAGAAAACCTAAACTACCTTAAAATGAAATTATTAATTTTATTGGAAAACAACAAATAAATACAGCAGTTAAAGTAGGTCAGGTGTATTTAATGTTCTTTGTGCAGGTTCCTAACCTGGTGTTTCTGGCTGTGAGTCCTGAGGAGAAGGAGTCCTGGATCAACACTCTGAATGTGGCCATCGTCCGGGCCAAGAACCGAGTCTTCGATGAGGTTTGCAGCCGTTCTTTAGTAGTAAAACTGAACTTCTTCACTTGTGTCTTGAGGTTTGTGATGAACGAAGGCTTTAGTCAGTTTAATGTGTCCTCAGGTGGCCATCGAGGAGGACAGCGCTTTGGCTCATCCCACCAGGGATCGAGCAAAGATCCCTCACAGCCGCCGGCTTCCGACCAAAGGACACCTCGTGGCCGTGGTAGCAGAACCCATATTTCACCTTCCAGCAGGATCAAATTAACGGTATCTTTAGAAGACCTTTTTTATTTGTCGTCGTAGGCGTCTACGTCCTCTCACGGCATGCTGACCCTTGACCTGGTCGCAGAGGAGGACGGCTTCTCCTTCGACTACGACCCGGACGAATCCTGGGAGAACAGCTTCCGGGTCGACCTGCAGAAGGAGGGAGGTCGTCAGAGATCCGGCACCGATGTGTCGAAGCTGCGGGTGACGACCAAAGAGCCGAAGGTGAAGACGAGCAGTTTACCCAGGGGGAGCGAGCGGTCCTGGGGCAAACATCTGGAAGTCCCCAAAGTCCACAAGAACCAGCAGGTCCAGGTGGGAAACTTCGACTTGAGATTAAATTTATTTGTTTTCCTGTTTATTATTATTATTATCATTATTATAGTTTCTATCCCTATTCTGTACATTTTTAGCTGCTGTTCAGCTGTTTTTGGTAAATTTCTGCTTTGTTCAGATAATTTCTACTTATTGGTGCTCATTTCTGCTTCTTTCAGCCTAATTGGGCAAACTTGTGCTCTTTCTGCTTCCCTCTGCTTATTTAAGCTTCTTTCTGCTTCTTTAGCTACTATTCATCTGTTTTCTGCTTATTTCTGCTTTTATCAGATAATTTCCACATTGTTGTTCTAATTTCTGCTTCTTTTAGACTAACTGGGCAAACTTGTGTTTTTTCTGCTTACTTCTGCTAATTTGAACTTCTTCTTGCTTCTTTAACTACTATTCAGCTACTTATTGCTAATTTCAGCTTTTTTTTAGCTAAATTCCTAATTCTTGTGCTAATTTCTGCTTATTTGATCCTTATTCAACAAATATGTGTTCTTTCTGCTTTCTTCTGCTAATTTAGGCTTGTTCTTCCATTTCAGCTACATTTCAACTTGTTTTTAGCTAATTTCAGCTGTTTTTCAGCAAATTCTTCTGCAGTAAGCGTTCACACTGCGTTTTCGCAGGAAATGCAATTTCTCTAGTTTTAAGATAAGTTTAAGAGATCCAATCAGCAAATCTTCATGTTCATCTCCTTAGTTTAAAGCAGGACTATCAACTGTTAAACCACTAATCAACACGTCTGCTTCCTTTCAGGTCCTTCAGGCACAATCCCAGACGCCTCAGCCAGGAAAGAGGTTCAGCATGCAAGGTCGAAGTCGCTGCGCCTCCATGGACGAAGTCCTCTCCTCCAGGTACGAACTGTTATTTAACAACACAGCTCTGCGCCTGGCAGGGAATTTAGACGAATTAAACCCACTGACCCATTTAAATCAGCACACGTTAATAATTTATCACCCTGAAGTGGTACATTTGAGAGCCGCGGCTACTCTGAAAATGAAAAAAAAAAAAAACCCTGAAGGGGTAATTGATTTTTAAAAATTCATCTATTCATTTTTAATGTCTAATCAGAATGTGTCTCGTTAATTCAGTCCAGTTAGACAATAGATGAAAAATTAGGCTGAGTATTGATCCGAAATTTAATCATGATTTTTGTGAGACGTTAAATTTTTCAGTTTTCCTACAATTTATTGTGAACTTTAAAGACAAATACAGTGATTTACAGAGCTCAAAGACTGAAGGTTTAAAACCCACAGTACGCTGACAGACGTCGGCTCTGTGTTTATGTAGGTGAATATAAAGCATCAGAACGCTGCTCAGACTTTTTTCTCTGACTGGCTCAGCACATTATAGTTTACAGTGACGAGAGCGGATCCAAAAACAATCCGAACAAACATAAAGCCAAAGAGAAAATCACCCCCACGGTGTCCTGGAATCTGCTTGGACTAATAAGATCTTGACAAACCGGACACTTGCTTTGAGGAGGATTCTGATGAACAGTTCATTAAAACTTTTAGCTGGAAAAACAAACAAAACTAGAGAAAATGCATTTCCCTTGAAAATGCAGTGAGAATGCTTATTGCTGAAGAACTTGCTGGAAAAACAGCTGAAATTAGCTTAAAATATGCTGAAATGTAACTCAAATGGAAGAATGAGCCTAAGTTAAAAGAAGAAAACAGAAATAACATCTATTTGCTGAATTAGGTTTAAATAAGAAGAAACTAACACAAAAATTAGGAAATTAGCAACAACAAAAAAATAAAGAAGCTGATTAGCAAAAAGTAGCTGAAAGGTCAGAAGCTTAAATTACCAGAAGGAAGCAGAAAGAGCTGAAATGAGCTCAAAATATGTGGAATTTGAATAAAAAGCTAAAATTAGCATTAAACTGTTAAATAGTAGCTGAAATAGCAAAAATAAGCTGTAAGGAGCATAACAAGCTGAAATTAGCAGAAAGAAGTTAGAAGCACAAAAATCTTGTAGTTAGCAGAAAGAACCCAGTAATTCTCAGTCGGGTCATCTGGACACGCTAACGATCCATCGTTAGGCTGATGGTCCTTCTTGATCATGTGAGCAGCTGGTTTTGGTTGTCAGCAGCAAACTGGTTGATCCACCACGAGAAGGTGCTATTTATAAGACTGAGCTGAATACAGCACCTCAGACTGAAGAAGTCTTTCGGATGAAAGACGAAACATTTCTACTTTTGTTGTTGTTGTTGTTTTGTTTGCTTTGTTTTTTGAATGTCCAGAGGACCAGACGTAACTGTTTTAAATTTTTCTACCTGGATTATTGAGCATGCATCAGGATGTCATCTGGACATTTTCTTTTTTATAGAGACGTTTCGCCCTCTATCCGGAGGGCTTCATTAGTCGGAGGAGTTCCAGTAAACTGTTTCTGCTCCAAGCAGTACACTCCTTAAGTGGACCAACCAGTTTGCTGGAGCTAAGATGGTTTCTGGGAGCCGTCCTGTCCCTTGAGCATGAACTTTGTTAGCATAAATAAGTTGAAAGGAGAACAAAACGGCTGAAAAAAAACAACAGCTGAAAGTAGCTGAAAAAAGTTTAAATTTGCATAAGGAAGCTGAAAGAAGCTGAAGCAGAACAAAATGTAAAAGGAGCAGTAAAATGTTGTAAACAGATCTAAAGATCTGAAGGAGTTAAAATGAGCTCAATTCATTTTCTATGAGAAAAAAATGACAGAAAATGCTAAATATTTCAAAAAGCTGAAGCTGCACCAATATCGAAAGCCATAGCGCCCTTCTCCTGAACGAGCTGAACGTTTTGAGACCTAAATTGCTGAAATAGCTTAAAAACTGCAGGACGAGAATCGTGCCGAACAACGTATGAAACAGGGATAGTAACAGCCAGGAATAATAAATATAAACAGGAAAACAATAGTGTGAACGCTTAATAAACATTCACACAATAAGCTGTATCATTAGAAAATTTAAAGGAACACTATATTTTTTTTACTCAGCTTCCTTTTTATTTATTTTTACCCTGAAACATCAACTCTGCTGCTTGTGTGGGGTCACCTCAGTTCAACAGGTCCTGTAGCTCGGCTCTGGACGGCCTGGGTTCACCCCTTTAAGTTTATGCTGGTTAAAGGGGTCCAGGCCACCTCTGAGAAGGTGCCCTGAATGAAAATGTTTAATGCATATTGAGGGACTTCAAACCTGCATTTAACGCTCTTTGATAGCAATTAAAAGCTAAAAAAAAAAATATCACATTTTGAATTGAGGTCCCAAAACTAGCAGGAAGAAAACATGTGAGGTGGGTTTGAACATCTAATGAGGATGTTTCTAAACCTGTGAAGGACTTTTGGACATATCCAGATGCAGAACCCATTCAGGGATGCTGATAGAAAGATGGACTGGTTTAGTACGTTAAAATCATTGGGTTTAATTATTTTAATCTATATTTTGAAGCATCATCTATTTCTGTAGTTGGCCCTCGTGTCTTCCTCCAGGCCTGCGATGATTCGCTCAGAGTTTCGCTCTGCTCTTCGTCGCTGCCCGACTGAAGAAGAGGCGGGGAGCGGGGCTTCGCCGCAGCCGGTGGGTCAGCTGCAGAGCCTCATCGCTCAGAGGATGCAGAGAGCTCAGGAGCTGCTGGAGGAGATGAGACTGCAGGTCCGACTGATTGCATTCATCGTCTGTGTGAAACCTCAGTCCTTCCAAATGAAACAACGTTCTGACCCGTTGTTGTTTACAGGAGCTGCAGAAGGCCAGAGCTGAGCGGGAACGAGGAGGAAGCTCATCGTACCTGAAGGGCATCGAATCTCCTCGGCTTCATCACCTCAGGGGCTCCGACTCTCCTCATTCCAGGTTAATTCACTCTCACTCCCTTTTTGTTTATAACAAAACATCTTTGTGGCGCTCAAAAGTGATTCTTCGGATTAGACCGTGTGTGAAAATCTGGGCTTTAATTGGATTTTTGTCCTCAGCAGGTCTTCAGGATCTCCGAGGAGCAGGAGCAGTGACTCCCCTCGCCTCCGGGGGAAAGACTCTCCTCGTCTGAGAGGAAGAGAGTCTCCTCGATCCAAAGCCAAGAGGAACCGCTCCAAAGGGGCAGACTCTCCTCGCTCCAGGGGGTCCCACTCGCCTGCAGCTAAAGCCTCCGACTCTCCTCAGCTGAAGGATTCGCCTCATCTGAGCTGCTCTCCTCGATCAAAGAGCTCGGACGCCGTCCGCTCACCAAAACTCAAGGGCTCGTCCATCGCCTTGTCCAACAAACAGGATGACTCTCCTGCACAGAAGAGCCTAGAAACTCCTCCGTGTCCCAAAGGGTCCAGCTCCTCTCAGGTTAAAAGAACCGAGTCACCGCAGGACAGCAAGACCGACTCCCCCCTTCAGGGGAGCGTTGAGGAGTCGCAGAGTCAGAATTCTCCAAATGAGTCTGGATCCTCTGATTCCTCGCAGCCCAAGTCCCCTAACAAGCATCCGCCCGCCACGCAGCTGTCAGAGGAAGACCTGGGGGTGGAGCGGCGGCGTGCTGAGGCCGAGCGCCTCCTGGAGGAGGCCGTGTCGTCGTGGAAAGAAGCGCAGGAGGTCCTGCAGGAGGTGAAGGAGCTGCAGAGCCAGACGCTGAGGCGTCAGCGTAGGAGGACCTACGAGAAGATGAGGACGTCAGCGACGACAGCCTTACTGTCCACAGCAACTGCAGCGGCGGAGGAGGACGACACACCGGCCTCACCAACGTCCCCCGAGGACGAAGACGAATCTGAGACGCCTTGACAAAGACTGAATCTTCTCAGAGGAGGTAGCGACGTTCTTCAGCTTACGCACACACAGGATTCATTTACAGCCCCCGTTATGAAACGGTGGAGACGTTTTATAAAATGTAAATACAAACAGAACACAACAATTTTAAATCTCATAAATCCACATTTTATTCACAGTGGAAGTTGTTAAATGAACCAAATGTTCAAATTAAGGTTTTGTATCAGTTCCTTGGAAGAAAAAAGGCAATTTTGAATTTATGGCAGCAACACATCTCAATTTAGGAGAACTTAGGAGTAGGCCTGTCACGATAAACAATAAATCAATTAATCGCATGATAAATGAAAATTATCGACCTCGTTTTCATTTATCGGCCTCATCATTTCTTCATGTCTCTTTCTACTGAAGACACTGGACGACTCCGGTGCTCTTCACTGACCCTTCCCTTTCTCTTTAAAATCTGTTTTAACGATCCAAAATTGTGTTTTTGGATCGATAAAAGCAGCTAAGCTGAGAAGCTAAGCTACAAGCTAAGCTAACAGGCTGACCTCGGGGGAAAAAAACCTCTGTCTTGTCGAAGCTACAAAATTCACAGTTGAAACCCGCGCCTTCGTCTAAAAAGTTGTTTTTCTCTGCTAAAAGAAGCTGAGAACTTGTTTACTGATTTGTTTACGTAAAAGCTTTGTTTGAAAAATACTATGTTAAAGAGCTCAAACCACACCGAGCATCTGCCATTTTGAGAGCCAAAAAACAGGAAGGAGAGACAACCCGTGCCACGTCAAGGGGCCTCCCTCCCATTTTTCATAAAGAGACATGCTGCTTGCTCCCTCACTATCCATCCTTGGGTTCAAACAGTCTTATACTGCCATCCGATGGCCAATAAAAGGTACTACACATAAAACAAATTAAACAGTTCTTCTTAAATTTGACAGTAATTACTAATTATTGTCAAATTTCAAACAATATTATAATTTATTGCAATAATTTCTGAGACAATTAATCGCCCAGCAAAATTTGTTATTGTGACAGGCCTAGTTAGGAGACCAGTTTTTGGACTTTTTTGAGGGAAACCTTGTCCCATTTGTGTCTAATACTGGATTCTAGATGCTCGACAGTCCTGGGATATTTTTGCTGGATTGTTTTTTTTGTTTGTTTCATGATTCATTCAACCTTTATTTAAACACGTAAATCCCACTGAGCCTCGAGGACTCATTTACAAGATAGACCTGATTTCAACATCAGGTGCATCATCAACATGATGCACCTGATGTTTTATTGTTGAGAGGTCTGGACTGCATGCAGGTCAGTTCAGGACCTGGACTCTTCTGAAGCCGTGCTGTTGTGGTTTAGCCTCATCTTGCTGAAATATGCAAGGCCTTCCCTTTAAAAGACTCGTGGATGTTGTTCTAAAACCTGCACGTACTTTTCTGCATTGACGGTGCCTTTTCAAATGTGTAAGCTGTTCAAGCCAGGGACACTAATGCACCCCCATACCATCAGAGAGGTAGGCTTTTGACCTCTGCGCTGCTAACAGGCTGAATTGTTCCTTTCCTCTTTATTACGGAGAACATGGCATCTGTGGATCCAAAAAAAATAAAAAATTCTAACAGTCCTCCGTACGTTTTAAACAAACTTTTGTTCTGAAAGGACAGCAGCGTTTCTGGATGGCGTCCACAAATGGCTTCTTTTTACATAATGGAGCTTTAAGCATCAGTTGACGATGGTGAGCTGTGTTTACAGACAATGACTTGTACAAACAGACCTGTTTTTAATGCGGTGGTCCCTTAGGGGCTGAAGAGCACGACCGTCCAGTGTCGACTTTCAGTCTTTTGTGCGTACAGGTTGTTGAATTTTTAATAAATTATGAACTTTGGGTGATGGGATTTTCCCCAATCATCCAAGATTCCAGTTTTCCATTGAGGAACATTATTCAGAAATTGTTCCTCTATTTTCAGATGCAGTTTTTCACAGACTGGTGAACCTCTGCCCATCTTAGCTTCTCTGAAAGTCCTTTTTTATATCCAGTCCTCCTACTGACCTGCTGCCAACTGACCTCATTAGTTGCAAAATGCTGATCCAGATGTTTTCATACTCACCACTTAGTGTTTTGTTGCTCCCATCCTAACTTTTTTGAGATGTCTAACAAAGTTCAGTCAGCTCATCTGGATGGTTTCTTTTTTTGTTGAGACGTTTCGTCCTTCATCCAAAAGACTTTGTCAGTCACAACAAACGTAGTCCCACAAGCAGCACACTCCCATAGTGGACCAACCAGTTTGCTGGTGATAAGGTCCGTCTCCCCCGTCGACTCCTGTGAGGCAGCCATAGCCAAAGTGGTTCAAAACATCTTTGTTTGAACTTTGTTGGATTTTTTTTAACCTGGCTTATTGAGCATGAACTTTGATGTTTTGAATCACTTTGAGTATGGCTGCCTCACAGGAGTTGACGGGGGGAGAGGGCGGGCCCCAGAAACCATCTTATCACCAACAAACTAGTTGGTCCACTACGTGAGTGTGCTGCTTGTGGGACTAAGTTTGTCGTGGCTCCTCGGACTGATGAAGTCCTTTGGATGAAGGACGAAATGTCTCAACAACAAAAAAAGAAACCGTCCAGATGACCTGAACTTGGATTTTTTATCTGGATTATTGAGCATGAACTTTGATTTATTGTTTGAGATGTGTTGCCACAAAAAAATTACCTTATTTTTCCCAAATATTCTACAATTTCTTAGTTTCAACATTTGACATGTTAGCTATGTTCCACTGTGAATAGAATTTGGGATTCTGTTTTTATTTCCATTTTACACCACGTCCAAACTTTTTCAACACTGCAGCTGTAATTTGGAAGTTTTTAATTCCACTTTGGGAGCGATTTTGATCTTTTAATCCAGGGATGACAGGATGACCCCCTCAGCAAATGGTGGATTATTATGAAACCAGCTATACGTTTCTTTCCAGGAGGTTTAATGACTTTAATCCTCCGCAGTGCACTACGCTCCCACCCTCTTACTGCCTGTTTATTCCAGGACGCCTCCCTCTGTGGCAGATGTGTCGCGTTTAATTTAAGTAAACACTGTTTTAAACGAGAGGCCCTCCCCTTCGCCTGCTCCAACAACGCTGCACGCTTTTCTTCTTCGTCTGTTTTGCAGACAGTGAAGCCGAAAGCCTCTCCGTTGACTACTGAACGAGAAGATGTCAGTGTTTATACGATGAAAAACTTGATTTTGATAAAAACAAGAAGTCACTGAAGAGCACTACAGCTCCTAAGCACAAACGTTGGACTTTGCTGCAAATTTCTTCTCTTTAAAATTTAAAAAACTTCCAATTTTAACTGTTTGCTATCGAACACTGAAGCCCTTTTTTGCGGCGTTTCTTTTAAATTGCTTGACCTCAGTTCAGCTGTAGCTTTATATACGTAGAAAACACGTCTTTCCAGCTCGTCGAGGACGTTTATACAATCACGACAAAAATCAGGGAGTTTAAAGTTGTGCACGACGAGCAGAGAAGAAGCAATAATGAGTCGGTTTTACTCATTTATTAATTTGTGTTTGAGACTGACAAACGGACCAGCTCCAAGCTGTAAACTCTGCACTATGAACTGAATTTATCACCTCGTTTTTACTGAGCGGCACTGAAACCATGAGGATTTTATTTGCACAGATATTTGAGACTAATCTTTAAACAACAATGCTGTTTTCTTAATTGAATTTGCATGAAAGTATGAAATAATAGGGATCTCTTCTGGAGAATCATATATAAGACATAATTAACAGATTTATTCCAGGATCCATTCAAACGTAGCTTCATGGACAAACATGACTTTCTGGACGCTCGCAGTGTTTAAAACATGCATGGGTAAATGTAGCTAACACTGGCGGGGGGAAGTTGCAGACGTGAAGCAGGTGGTGAAACGTAAATCTCACCAACACGAGGAACAGAATTACCCATGCTGCAGATGGGTCGCTGACAAATTTGGCACTCGTGAGTAAATTAATATGTCACACACACGACCGATGATGTGGTGGTGAACGTGTAACGGACAAAAATGACTAAATTCACGTGTTGCAGGCTTGAGTAGGTGAAAAAATACACACGTTAGCTGTAAGAATAAAGCGTTGTGCTTATATTTGCATGTCTCCATCAACAACACATTAGAAAGTCAAAACACTGGCTCGGTTTTGTTGAAATGTAACAGTTTATCATTCTCTTTACCTGGAACGGGTTTTATTCTTGTAGCTGCTTGGTGTTTGTTTCAGAGGAGACGCTTTAAAGCTCCGGTGTGTCGGATGTGGAGACGTCTCGTGGCTCGGGCTGACAATTGCAACGTCGGGTGAGCGTTTTAAGCAACAAAACACTCTTTGGATCAGCTGGTTTGTTGATGCAGGGCTAATATAAAAACAACAAACTGTTCAAAAGCATCTTTAAGAGCTAATCTCAGCCACAGTTTGATAAGAAACGTCTGTTTCGTGTTAGAAAACTGACCGTGTCCGCACCGCTTGGACTTCTCTAATAAAACAAAGGCTTTGTGCGCAAAGACCTGTGCTGCTGCTGTTTCTGCAGGTAGTGTTCTTTATATTCCTTCATTTTCACCAGTTTGATATGACTGTTTTGAACATTAAAACTTAAATTGGATATGAAAACTGAAAAATAATTACATAAACACTCATTTTAAACACAACAGCCACTTACGAGCATGCGAGCTGCCTCTTCAAGTAGCGTTTCCACCTCTACCCTTCAAAAAATCTCTGTTTCTAAAAGAGTGGTGGGGCTGAGTGCCGAGCAGTTGTACATGGGTAGGAGCCCACAGGCGCCTGGAGGTTTCACATGTGTAGTCGAACAACAACGAGCAGGGACAGTGTCGGGCTTGGAACCATCAAGTAAGGGGGAGGGGGGTTTGGATGCTTGACAGAAGCGGAGTGTTTACAAATGTAGTTAATCGTAGATGTTTAACAACCCGTTAAAATACACCAAACTGCAGGAAATCACATCTACTTTATTCAAAAATTTATGATTGAGGACCCCCAGATCTAGAGTTGCACTCGGGTCCAAATAATTCGACCCGGCCCCAGCCCGCAGCCATCATCGCCGAACCCCACTCGATCCGACAAATTAACAGTAATTACAGGTCTGAACCTGAAAAA